GGTTGGTTTGTATTAACAGCAAGTTATGATTCTCACAGTGGGGCCACTTTGTAAACTACCTGAAACATTATGATTCAAAGTGCATTAAAAGATTCAGCAGGAGTGACTGAGGACAAGCCTGGTACAAACAAAATGGAAATCACTCTGAATTGGTTCCCATCATATCTGGTCTCTATCAGGAGCCAGAATTCCCTGTATTTATCCCATCTGCATTGTACATGTCAGTTAGTGTATAAATAGAGCTGAGTGTATGGGATCTCATGTCAAACCACATCAGTGAGTCACCAAGGAGGGGGGAGAATCGTGTTTGTCTTGCCTGTATAGACAAGACAGTATTTATTAGCAAGTTCAAGGCAGGATTGGGGCACAGAAAATTCTGATCAGAGGAAGAAAGGTTTTTCACCACAAAGCTCAGAGACAGGGGCCCAGAGAAGCCACGGGATCCCCTGAAATTCTGCTGGCCAAGGCCCTGAGCAACGTGACTGAGCTGAAAGCTGGCCCTGATTTCAGCACAGAGTTGGAATGGAGGCCTCTAGAAATCTGTCATTTAAAGTGTTCTGTGAATCCAAGAGACAAAACAGGGAAGCACTTCTGGGAATCTGCAGTGCCTGAGACTCTACCTGGAACTGTGCTCAGAGTCTCTTTGCTTTCTTTGAGACCAAGCAGCCTTTGTTTTCTTACTGGGAGACGGTTTTCACATTGCTCTGAGTGATAAAAGTACATAACTATAAATGTCTCTCTGACTTCAGGAAAGCTGGATTGTACAGAGACTGTAGGATATTGCACCAGAAGCCCTGCAGGGGGTTTAGGGAATAGAGGGGTTATGGAAAGAGAAAAATGCAGCACACTTGTAGCAACATCATTTAAATCCAATCCTGATGCTTGCATTTGTCTCCACAGTGTTTTCTATCATAATTCAGGTACTATTTCCCTTCTGCACAACAATAAAACATAACAATCAGCAGCAACATCTGGGCCCTGCTCTTCTTAACAAGACTTTTATGCAGTTATAAGGTAAAGCACAAGAACTCGAATTGGAAATAAACCAGAAGTTCTGACTTGACACTTGGAACTTCAGCACAGCTGCACCATTTTAGGTCATTTTAACTGCTGCTGTCAGGTTATATTTTATAATAACACCTTGTTCATCCAGAGACATTTTCTTAATCATCATCCCTTGTGTTTTAGAAGGTTTAAACTTATTTTTCCTTTTTTTTTCTCTCCCTTTGGGAACTAACTCATTTGGAGTGAAGATTTCCCTGCATGCATTGAGTACCCTCAATCCCTGTTCACAAGTATAATTCTGCCCCAATGCCAACTTGGTTTCCCAGTCCTTGGGAAAGCCATAAAGCAGAAGACACTGCTCAGAAGATACTTGACCTGACCTGTAACTCAACTGCAAAAGCAGCTGTGAATTCATGGTAGTGCTTCAAGAGCTTCTTGTAGAGAAAATTCTTTCTTTACTCATCAGTTTATACCATTTGTACCTCTGGGAACATCAAACCTCTTATTTTCTTTAGCTCAACATAACATTGATCCACAAATACCTCTGGGATTGTTCCCTCTTCTCATTGTATTAACAATTTTTAATTTATTTTCCCTGTAGAGAGGGAAGGGTTCATTCTCACAGATAAACAGTGTGTGGAAAGAAACCTTCTTTTGTGTTCCCTGGTAGCACCTTGAAACTTCTGTGTTACAGTGGCAACAATAACACAACCCACAGTAATTCAGGAAGCTGGTTAATTAGTATAAATGGATGCAATATTCACTTCCCACATGGCTGAGATTAGTCAAATGTTTCCATCCAGCCTCCTATTTTCCTATTGCTTGTTCTGCCTGATTAACACAAGATGCATTTTCTTTTCTAGCTTGAGGTTACATGTTTGAAGCTTCTCCAGAGGGAATTACAAACAATTCACATTGCTTGACTTCACATTCATTGTTTCACTAGAAAGACAAACAAAAATCCAAATGTTTGCTAAGCCTCAGGTTTTTTACTTCCCGTGAAATCAAATGATCACCAACGCTGGCTGATCCCGAAATCTCATTTACTTCCATGGGTTTGAAAAAATTGTTTAATAAATTCGGGTCAAACACTGTTTTAAGATTAATAAGTGATTTACTGTTGACCTTGTGCAACCAGAATTCTATTTTGTATCTCCACCAGTTTAGCAAATTTGAAACCATCCCCTTGTGCCTTACACCAGCTAATTAAGCTTCTTTATAGTTACTATTAACTAGTGATAGTAAAGTGGACAAATGTCCATTTAGCTTGATTTACATAACTTCATAGTAAAACTGCACATCTGACAAGTACATTGGGAAATCACTGCGAGGGAAGATGTTGGAAAATTACAGAGGTTATTTTCAGTAATTGCTGAGTTCAACCAAACAGTTACAGAAGATTAGGGGCTTCAGGCTGAAAGGCCGGATTTCAGCATGAGGTTTCTGACTTGGTAAATTACTAAATTGAAAACTATGGGAAACATAAAAAGCAGCCTGGAGTGCACTCCAAAAACATCATTTGGAGAAATGATTTGTAGCAGGGAAATGAAACCAGAAAGGGACCAAAGGAGCAGGAGGAACTCACTGTGTGCCACCAATGACTGGGCCACTTCATGACACAGCTGGGCACCTTCACAGCACCAAGCCCTACACCAGGAACTAGTTCCATCTAATGCTGCTTATGGATAGAGACTGACAACATTCAGCACTTTAGCAGGTAGGTTTGGCATGTCCACATATGCACTGTACAGACATGGGCTCCTAAGTACCCACAGATGGAAATTCCGGGAGGAATTGGGCCGCTGTGCTCAGAGCCAAGCAGGAGCGCCCACGTAACCACACTTGGACCTCAACCCTGAGCGTGAACTGTGCCCAAAAGGTTGTCCACGTGTTACTTATTTGCAAAGGGCTTTTAGTGAAAGGAGGTTAAGTGGTTTATCAGAGCTTGTCTCAACGTAGCACATGTGGAGCAGACACTAAAGAGCTGCAGTTCTATAGCTGGAGGGAAACGGGAGAGAGAAAGGGAAAGAGGGAGGGAGGGAACAAAGATCTACAGATGAATCACCCCAACCATCCCCACCTTTTTTCTTTTTAAGGGAATCTTTGGATGTGGAAAAACAGTTTGACTGTTTGTCATTAAATGCCAGCAGCCTGTGCCAATAACTACTACACAGAGCAAGTGAGCAACTTTCAGTAATTTCTTAGGATAGTACCTCATATATCTCCCTCGCCTGATTTTTTGATACTTCCTTTTACACCTCACTCCCACAAAATAACAATAATAAAAAAATATAACTACCTTTACAAAAAGAGTAACAAGGCATCCCTGCCTTATTTTACTGACTGATCCTAAACCTCCAGCTACTAATTTTCTGTCCCAGTCCATTATGACACTCCTTGAACAGCACACACAGGTGGGAAGCCACTGTGACACTTAATTCAGGGTGCAATCACACCAGTTTAGAACCAATGAGGATCATAAATATGACACTAATTAAAGGAGAGAGGAGGGTGTGGGGGGAAGAGCACACAAAAACTCCACACAAAAGCAATGATTTCTATGAATAAGTGCCCAAAACTCAAATTCCACAGCTGGCTATTTCAGAGAAGCTCCTCTGACTCCCTGCAGATTTCCTTTCAGCAGGAAGTTTAATTAAGGTGGGTTGTTTTTGGGGTTTTTTTCCCTTTCCAAGCAGGAAATTCCCTCTGCATCTGACACAGTGATTCTTTCATTTTCAGGAACAAGAACTCAAAGGAATACCTGAAGCATAGCAGAGTTAGGCTTGTGCGAAGTATCAGCCACACTTATCTTTTAAAAGGTTTTATTTGCCTCATTTAAAACATGAACAAGAACCCAAGGCTTGCCACCATTTTGCCCCTGCATTGCTAAGACAACTGAAGAAGTTAATGGGATACATAAAATACTGCAATAAACCAAAGTTTGCCTCACGGCGCTTCAAGTTCCCTTTCTAAATTAGTTCAGGGAAACAGCAATTGGGTCACTCTCATTTTAGATCCCCCAACAGCAAAAAGGCTGATGTCACCAATTTTGGGAAAGAAGCCCAAATTGTTTGTTAATTAACAAAGCCATTTAACTTTCAAAAATGAATCACGTCCCAGAAAGTGAATGTCAAGGTTACCTTGAGTCAAGAACATTGAAAAGGGATAAAACAAGGTTTTATCAATATCACTGTGCCACACAGTATCATGAAAATAAAATACAGAAGACAAATAATCCAGTGCTCTACCCAGAACATGTAAGAAAGGAAGAACTTCAATGGGTAAGATTAAAAACAGTAGCTGCAACAATAAATAACTTAAGGGAAGAAAGTATTGACACACAGAGACACACATTAGCTTTTCTATACAATACTTCTAGATTTTCTGAAGACGAATTTCTCTGAAGTAATTCCATATTTACCAGTGCTTTCCTAAATATGCAAGTCGCACCCATGCTGGTTTGGGTTTTGTTGGGTTTGTTTGTTTGTTTTGTTTTTTACACAAACTCCCTCGCAACCCACTAAGTGTGTTCAGGGGGTTAAAAATAAATATTTACATTTTAACTACCGTGAAAACAGAAACTAACACACGTTATCAAACACCGATATCCCTGAACAGCCTGAACTCACCTGAGGCAGCCTGGCCACCATTGACTGCCCTCACCGGCACATTCCCAGTGCACCTTTCCTCACAACTCCGAGGAGGAAAATTACAGCCCAGCTGCCAAAGCCCTTGGGAAGTCGTGGGAAAAGCCTCCTTGTCCAAGGACCAGGCTCAATTCCCCAAATATTTGCAGTGCAAACTGCCCTAAGTGCTTTGGGAAGCAGAGGGGGCTGCGGGCGCCGTGAGGGGAGGTGGGTGTGGCACGCGCAGGTCCCTCAGCCTCATCCGAGGGGGAAAATGTTCCCCTGACCTGAGGAAAATATCTGAAACAGCAAATACTTAGTGTTTTATACAGGGAAAACACTTCCCAGGGATTTGGTGGCAAAACCTACCTAGTGGATATGGTTTGGGATGGTGAGATTGTCACCCTCATGGTAGTGGGGAGTCGAGCCCCCTCACCCCCGAGTCCATCCTTTCCAAAATAAGGCAACATGACTCAGGACGGCAGTTTGGAAAATGGCGGCACCAAAATTCAGCATCCACAAAATTCATATATAAAAATGGAATTTTAAACAAATAACCTCCGTGTGTGCATGAGGAAAAACCTCAGACCCCTTAACTACCATACGGACAAGCTCTCTTTGTTCTCTCATGTTCCCCAAGTCCCATCTTCAGAATTCAGGATCTCATTTTCAGTGTGCATTGTTTATCCCTTCTGATACATCACACATAGAAGCTCAGCTGTCTCATAGTGCAGAAGCAATCCAAGCACAGCAGTTTCAATATGAAAATTCATCAGAAAACAGCCTCTCTGGTCTCAAGCAAAACGGGCCATTTTTTTCTTCCTTTTATAGCTTTCAGAAATAACCTTATGCAAAAAGTGATTACAGTTGTAATGATAAAAAATGAGGGGAAAACGACACTAAATAATGTAATGTCTTTTCTAAGCACATCAAGGGGTTCGAAGTTCCAATATATGAAGGGTCTTTTTTACCTCAGTGAGCTGGGTAATATAAGGTGTCTAAATGCAGAGAAAAAGAAAATATCATCTGTCACTGCCGTAACAGCAAGAAGATAAAATTGTTTCTGTAGGCTGAAAACAGAAGTGCTCCTGAAAGAAATCATCACTGGAGGATTATTTTTGGATGAACAGTATTCATCAAGAGTTTAAGGAGGGAAAAGAAAAAAAAGTGTGGGTCGAGGAAAAGAAATGTAACGATTGAAATTAAATATTTCATCTGCCTATGGAAATATAATTCCAAATTGAATAAAAAGTTTCCTTATTTGGTGGACAGACTCCAAGGTCTCTGCAGAAAGCCACAGCAGCAGTTTTTAATCTCTTAGTTCTTTATCTCTTTAGTTCTGCTTCCTACACTTGTCACCAAAACACCTAAATTGCCATGTAAGAGGAGACATCCCCCTTTACTTTCTTCAGTCCATCTCTTTAATGTGTGTTTAGGATGGACTTGGGAAGCCTGGGTACTACAATGGCTTAAGCTCAGAACCACAGAACCTCTTGTGAACCTGCTGGGGATGGCCTGACATACCCCATATGGCACAAACACCTACAATTGGATGGAACAGGATAGTAAAGCCTTTTTTAGCAGGTCAGTGAAGCCCTGATTCTACAAACAGAATGTTAAACAGGGAATCTCACCACAAACCAAAAGAAGAGCACAAGAAGCCATTTTAGGAAGTTTTACACAATTAAACTGCTGTATATTCCTCCCCTTTTTTTTTTGTTGTGTGGGTGGCACATAAAACAAAGAATGCACTAAGATAGAGCTGTTCTACAAATTGATATCGATTCTTGTTTTTTCTTTTAATGCCATATAAATCAAGACTTGAAATCCATTTAGGGCCAAAAGACTTCATAACATGAGCTGTAGCAGTTCCTGCCAAGCAATGCAGGCAGACTGGCCTGAATTCTGTCCCTTCTGTGAAGAGCAGCAAAGCTGCTGCTTTGCCCCTTTTGCACCACTGTGGCTGCAGCTTTCTTCCTCTACAGCTCAGGATGGGGATTTTGGGCAACCTGAGGATCAGATCAAAGCATTCAGCAGAGCTGCAAGGTGTCTGTATGAAATCTGAAAGTGTATGAGGAATGGTGTGGAGAATTGCATTCAGCTTTCTGAATGCAATCAAGGGCTCTCTCCTCTGACCAGAACTCTTTTTTCAGGTTTAAAAACTGACACTGTGTTGTCTGATTAAGCTTCAAATTATTAATCTGTTTGCTACAAATTATTATATATATTATAAAGGACAATTATTCAGAAAACCTTATCTTAAAAGTTATTTTTCTTTAAATTCAGGTTTGATAATTTTCATTTTAACCCCCCAACCTTCCCTTCTAAAACACTGTTGGTCTAAAGAAACCTGACCAACAATAGGTGGTCTCCATTTTTCAGCAGCTGAAAAGTCTTTCTTGCTTTAAATCCTTTCACTGCAAAAAGGACTGAAGTAGTTTTGCTTTATGTCCCTGACAATATTCCATCAGGTTGAAGTCAAATAGGAGAGATTTCGGCCCCAAAAATGAACGCTCAGTGTGCAAATCATACATTAATCATTAATGACTTTTAATCAGTTCTGCCTTGACAAAAATGTACCTTCCAGTGCCAGGCACTCAGAGCAGCCTCTTCCCTGCCAGTGCTCCACACTGGGGTGTGGGAAATAGCATCCCATGGTCTCAAAGAGAAGGAGAAACACTGGATATATGGAATGTCAACGTGATCAAAGGGATCAGCTCAAACACTCATTGTATGTTCTTTCCATTTAAATACTTTTCCTCAGGAGGCAACGTGTAACTCTCAGACAGGATTTCATCTCCACTTGCAGGGAGCATTTCTATTTATCTTGCTCGTTACTGCAGACATCATTATAAGACATGCAGTAATACCTTGTCATCATCCTGACAAATCCCAAGGGAATGTAAATGCTTTGCAGACAGAAAGAATCCTTTCAGATTAAATCCAAGGCAGGTCACTAAAGGAATCTGGCTGGAGACTCAAGCTCATGCCATCACCTAAACTTGCAGCAGCCACGTGATGACAGGCAGCCAACACCCCATGATAAATGCACAAAGACCTGGGACTTATCCTGACGAGTTCTCTATTCCATGAAAGCTGCCAAAGAAAGGCAAGTCAAAGAGGAAAACAACCAAAAAAACCCCAGGACATCCAACCCTGAGCCAACAAAACACACGTGCTTCATAACCAGTTCTGTGTAATTTCCATTTTAAACCAGGTTGTGGTTTGCAATAACAGCCCGAGTGTAAAACACAAAGGAGGGTTGCAAAGATCCAACATCAGCAATGACTCTCCCAAAATACAAGACTTTGGTGCATTTTCCTGAAGCAGGCTCTAAGAAAAGCTCTACCACCAGCATCAGTTACTTCCCTCCTGCAACAGGAGGCAGATAGACAAACAAACAAATAATAATAAACAGATATTCTCACTGGGTTCCTCCTTCTGCAGGAATTCCTTTTGTCTGTCCTTGCACCTGCTTTTGAGTAGTGAACAGCATCATGACTGAACCAAACTGTTCTGTGCTTCCTCAGCTACAGAAGGTTCAAGGAATTTAAAAATAAAACTCTGTTGTCTCATCAATACAAAGGATTTTCCTTCAGTGAAAAGCAGTTTTACAAGCAGCAGCAAAGCAGCACATTTCACAGCAGCAGAGATGAAAACTGGCAGGAGCAGGGTTGTACAGCACCTGCTTAAAGAAGATTGACACCAGAGAGCAGAAAGGCTCTCGGTTACTAAACCTGCACAGATGGTTTCATTCACACCAAGGCTCCTTTCAGCACAGGATCACTCAAATCCTTCTCTCCTGATAACCTTTACTGATCAGAGGACCCTGCATCTCCCATCTCCCTGATCTCACGCACTGGGCTGGGCTTTGAGACGTGTACAAGACAAGCTGCTATTCGCAGGCATTATTTTGCTTTATCTGCTCTTTATTCTGCCTGCTCCCTTCCCACATGGCTTTCCTTATTTTTAACAATCAGCCCAAACCCCTTCAAATTTCTGTCATCCCTCTAAATCTGCAGCACCTGGAATTGCCATCTCTAAGTTGAAACATGACTTCAAGCAAGGAATTGTCATTGATTTTCACCTCATCTCCAGGAGGAGTTCACACATTCCGTGATAATTCCGAGTTTAAGAATTAGTAATATGCTCATAAAACAACTCAAAGAGGAAAGTGAGAAAACAAGCAACATAGTGATTTCTTTTTTTTTTTTTTTTTTTTTTTTTTAATAGGCTGCCAATCTTATTCTCTTGGATTTGAGATCTGGGCTGTCCACACCCTTGGGGTGGTGGATTTTAGAAGGGGACAAAGATCAGCCCCTCATTTGAACTATCTGGAAAGGGGAGTTCATCCTGGACATGCCACATCTCCAGGCTGGAGGGGCACCAGCAAGTGCTGCTGTCGGCAGGGTTTTATGCAGGGCTGTAAAATCAATTTTTCCCTGAGACAAAGGCCAAGATATTCAGCTCTAGAAATGAATCTCATGATATAAAACCACCACCACTTCCAGAGGAGCCTCACTTTAACTAAAGCCTGGAGTATCAGCTCCAAGTGAAGAGATCAGGCAGAGGTCCCCAAGCAATTACACGAAACAAAGTCACCCTCCCAGCAGCTGCTCTAACAAAACCAGGGCTCTGGTTCACACTGTTTCATTCTCAGGAGGTATTTCCTAACTAAGTTTCAAAAGGAATTCAACTTTTGCAATTCACAAGCCCAGATGAAGAAATCCAGTCCATAGGTCAAAGACACAATTACCTCCAGCCCACATCAGTCTCCTTCCTTCACAGAAAACTTGGGTCCTTTTTTCCAAGATCAAGGGAAAAGAATTAAGGACCCTTTAACTCTTTCTACCCCTCCCTGCCACTTCCATTCGACAAAGCCTGTTTTATACAAATATATTTTGCTATCAGTCACACCTACTTCACTGCAAATCCCTTGCACTGGGTTTTCCAAAGGCAAAGGGTGTTCCCCTGAATCCCATCAAACTTCCTTAACTGAAGTGTGAATACTTTCTCATTGTCTGGGATTCCTAATTCACCTGAAGCTCCAGTTTTCTGCAACTTAATATTGTCACTTACTAAACAACAGAATCTGTGAAGTAATAATTTGTATATAGTTTGATGAAAGTTATGGATCCCAAATGGTCGTTTTGAAAAAATATTTGTTAAAACCATTTTGAAAACCCCATTTTTTTCTGGTTTTCCAATCAGAGGAGAAGAAGTAGGGGAGTCACATCTTGTGTGACTACTCGAGATTGCAGCTCAGTATTCCTTCCATATCAATAGATCAATATTTGCTTGATTTTCTTTGTCATCAAAGTGCCAGAATAGTTATTACAACAGTCACAAAAGGAAAACTGGAGGGTCTGAAGAAAAAAATCCCAGAGCTATTTGGAAGATCTGCAGAATTATTCTGTTTTACTTACACTTTCAAACTATGCCCAGAGTGTTTCTTCCCTTCTAGGAAACTGTTCTACATCAGAAACTTTTCCTGCAGTTAACACGAGGTTACGGAATTATTTTATTTTAATACATGAAACATTAAAAAATTACCTCAGATATGACTGAGGTAATGTCCAAAGATGTAGG